AATCCCATCCCCTACTAAACACTTTTGGTCAAAAAAATTCATGACTATTCAGGGGATGGGACAAATACAGATGAATAGTAGCTAAATTAGAAAATACTAGAATAAATTCTCAGTAGAGCCTAGAGTTTTCACCTGCGAGCCAAATTATTTGTTATTCTGGCCACCACTGGATAAGAAGATGAAGTCAGTTTCCATTTTCATATGAATTCTCATTTTCCTTTCTCAATTTATTTTGATCTCATATATTTTCATTGCTTTAATTTGTTTTCCAAAGACAGATGGGAAGATCACTGATATGTAGGCCAGCAAATTAAGGGCTCAAGACTCAACCTAGACATGGGTGGCACCAAACCATAGGGTTTAGCTGGGACAAAATAAAAAGGGAAAGGAGAGAATGTGCCCATTTTGGTGGACTCCAGTCTTTGACATTGTCTTTGAACATTAGTTCTCAGTTTCTTCAGCTTTCTACTGCAGACTTGTGCTGGTGATTCTATGGTGACCTTTCCAGCCTTTGACTTTGGACTGGTGCTGCATCCTTGGTCCTTCTTGTTCTGTAGCTTCTGTTTTCTTGGGCTGAGCAGCTACTGGATTTCTCAGCTTTCCAGCCTGCAAATAGGTCACTTCTGATCCTAAAAAGAGCCCCTATGCACCCTTCCACCTCAGGTTCTGTAAACTTATCTAACACATCCCTTGTGAGTGTGCACGTGTGTTTGTGTGTAAGGAATTAATAGTGATTTCATTCCTCTAAAGAATACTAATACAGCTGGGCGTGGTGGTGCATGCCTGTAATCCTAGCACTCAGGAGGCTGAGGCAGGAGGATCACTGTGAGTTGGAGATCAGCCTGGGCTACATAGTGAGTTCCAGGTCAGTCTCAACTACATAGTGAGACCCTGTCTCAAAAAACAAAACAAACAAACAAACAAATAAACAAAAAAGAATACTAATACAGTAAGTATGGCTCATTTTAAATCTAAAAGAGTAAAGAGAAACTAGCCCATTAGCTGTCAATTATGATTTTAAGATTTTGGACAAGCATCTTTTGAAATACAGGGGGATTTTTTGCATCTTAGCTTCTTTCATCCAGTGAACACAAAGGTATCTAGATGACTTGGAATACATGGACAATTGCCTAATATTGACCATGAAATCAAGAACAGCCAATCATCAGGAATTCTATTTATACAGAAATTCTAATATAGGTGAAAGCCATTTCAGGGACTCCTAGATAAATACCTGAATATCATACATATTTGGGTGGCTTTGCCTGAGAAAACTTAATGAAAAAGCATCTTACTACACAGATTTCTTGTGTTTGTATGGTGTCAGTTTTGCACCCTATAAATATGGTGAAACCTGTCTTAACACCTGCTTTCCTCCATCTGTATCCCTCATTAAAATGTCCTTCAAAAGTTGAAAGGGATTTCTCCACTAGTTGATGGCATGTCCGGACCCTCCTAAAGTTGACCACCACTACCGTGTGACCAATAAAAGAGACGGAAGCAAGGAGACTTAAGATTTCAAGAAAAATAAAGTGAGAGCATTTACTTTTAGGCATGTTCTGGGAAGCACATCATCCTTCCCCCTTGCAAATTCCCTTTACAGGTGTCTCCGAGGAACAGGATACAGGATACTAGCATGAATCTTTGACATCCAAGACTTGAACCTGCAAATGTCTGTGTTAACTTGGGTATCTGTGAGGGCTGGGTAGAGAAAATGTCCCACAGATCATAGAGGAGAAAACTGGGATGTTTCTCTCTGTGGATTTTGTGCCAGAACCAGCTCTGGGCCATTTTCCAAGGTGAAGCAAAATTTAATCATCTGAGACTGAAAACATTGGGCCCAAGAGATGTTTAAAAAGAGATATAAATAAACAGCTGCAGATTTGCTATCTGGATTTTGGGCTGCTCCTTGCTTTTGCTTCTTTTCTGTCACCTTGATAAATACCTTTGGAATTCTAGACAACACAAGTAAGTAAAATGGGTTATGTTCAGTGCAGGCAATGACAGGAGAAAAGTCCGAAAACTGCAGAAGCTGCTCTTCTAAAAACATAATCATCTCATGTTTTCCTGAGACTTAGCACATGAGGTACTGCACTATCTTTGGCTACATTTGATAGGCAATTGTGGTATCTCTTTGTGTTCTGTTATTAAATGTGTCGCCTGAAAGGAAGTTCTATTTTTTTTTCCTTTTAGATACAGATCTGAGTGCTGTGTATAGATAAAGTGAACTAGAAGTTAAAAACAAGGTTTAATGCCCAAATAGGTTTAATAGTTAAAATAATGTTGTATATATGCATATATATATATATACATATAGATGCATTTATTTCATAAAATTGTGTGAATAATTTCTATACAACATGTATTTAGGGAGCACAGGTTAAAAGGCTGAAACTCGTAGACTTTAACTTTATTCCCTGTGTAAAAGGTTTTTCTCTGGTGATGGGGCAAGGATTACATTCCATTTCAAACTCCACGTATTCACCAGTATGCTAAGTGTCTTTACTTTTAAAAAAATTAAAGACCAATTTGGAGTAAGGCTTACTAATCTATATTATATGTCAAATACAGTATAAGAAAGTGCATCTTGGTCCTATGGACACCCTAAACATATTCAGTCTCAGTTTAGTAGATCATAAGCCTGATATCCAGAAAGTTAAACTTTTTTAGAATAACAACTATTTTGGTCTTAATGGTTATGTTTTTTGGTTTTTTGTTTTTGTTTTGTTTTGTTTGGTTTGGTTTATTGAGACAGGGTCTCACTATGTAGTTGAGACTGACCTGGAACTCACAATGTAGCCCACACTGGTTTTGAACTCACAGCGATCCTCCTGCCTCAGCCTCCTGAGTGCTGCAATTATAGGCATGCACCACCACTCCAGGCTTAATGATGGTTATGTTACAAGTACTCTAGAGCATCTGTTGTTGGGATAGAGACACATCTGATTTATGTAGCTACCGTTCTAAAATATTAACTTCAGAATTAAAATAATGCTAATATTTAGGTATTTTATAAGCAAACAACTGAAGTTCAAAGTATTTTCCTTGACTCATGAAGTCAGCTTATGACCTGGCCAGTATTTAAGTCCAATTACATATGACTGCATAGTTGCAGGCTGTTTCTGTCACCCTGTACTATAATCTGGGCATTCACAGTTCAGTCACAGCATATACTATCATGGAATAATACCGAAACTAGCCTAGGATTTGAGTAATCACAGGTGAATCATATTACACTGAAAAGAAAAGATTGTGTCCCGAGTGATCCTCAGCAATGTTGAAATAAAACATGCAGAATTAGATTTCCTTTTTTCCCATCCTCATTTCTGCGTTTTTCTTTCAAGTGTACTAGTGTACCCCGTCTCTTATGTCCTTCTTTATTTTCGTACCAGAGATTGAACTCGGGTCCTTGCTCTTGCGAGGCCGGCAGCAGAACCACTGAGCTAAATCCCCAGCCCTCTCATGTGCTTTTGAAGTTACACTCACTATAACCTTCTTCTCACGAGTACTCATCATTCACACACATTGTTCTAAATTGGATCCATGGCAAGCATATTTTATAATTAATCTCCTCTTTCTCTTCCTAAAACCTAAAAATCCTATTTAAAACAAAATTGAAGAAAAGCTATATGTTAAAAGTTAAATTATTGTTTTATGTAAAGTAGATCTGTACACATATACACCTTAACTTATCATTCTAATATTTTTAAAGAACTTAAGACAAAGCTGAATTGGCTGGTCAGGTGGGCATTGTATATTTAACTATAATTAAAAAACAGGATCTAAATATCTCAATAAAAGAAGGCTCAGGACATTTAACACTTAATGAAAATAAAAAGTAGCAAAACTATATCGCCTATTTCTAGTATACAGAATTGCACTGGAATAAAAGTAGAGAAAGGTAATAATTTCTCAAGACCATGTTCCACCACTGAAAATAAAAACTTTAGCTACCTCGTCTGATGGAGGAACTGGGGGATGGGTGCTTTCTTTCAACCATCTTACGTCTATTTTATTCCCATGCATACACTTACAGAATGCCATCCTCATTTAATTGAAAGGTTATATATGTTATATAATGTGATAAAATTAAATGATTAGCTGTTGTGATACACCTGATAATACAAAATTCTTTAATTTTCAATCCGTGATTCAATTAGAAGAGAATAGAATAATTTTTTATCATCACATATGAGAGAAACACATTTAAGATCCTAGCTAAGTCTGCATTGCAGTTTAGATTTAAATATCTCAAATAATTTTTAGAATTTTATTTCTTGGTAGACAGAGATTAGTTTAATCACCTGTGTCTTCTCAATAGCCAGTATAGGGTTTAACATCAAGTTCATGACCAATTAATAAATAGGGAAGAGGACTTATGAACCATGTTGCTTGAAACTTATTTTATCAAACTTAATTCCCTCCCTCCTCCATAAGCAGAAAAAAATTCAGTTTCTCCCCTAATTTTCTCAGGGATATGACCAGTAAAAAAACTTGCTGTGTTTTTGTATCTAGTTTTATTTTGATAGGCAGTAGTAGATTGCAATTTGAATCAAAGCCTTTAGATTTTTCCTACGTGATCTTGAATCCAGTGGGACCTAGAGTAAGTAGTTGATGTCTGTAGGACCTTTTCAAAAAATCATCTGTAGAAAGAATTATAGTATTCGTATTATGGGTTATTGTGGAGGCCTTTTCAACAGCTATTGTAAAAATATAGTCAGTTCATGTGTGGGAAGTACTATGATACATAATAAGCTGTTATTCAATCATAACTGTTGTCTAAGATGCAAGAATTAATTATTTTTTAGAAGCAGTACAGTTGTAAGCTAGTTCGTTAATCAATTTTACTGTCATTTCACACAGATTAAAATATTGGGAAAATGTTATGACCAGACATAATTCAACCCAAGCTGAATCCTCAACCTTGTAATCTTTCATTAGAGATACAAGGCCTGGATTAAATGACACAGATGGCTCCTCCTCTCCAGAATCAAACTGATCCCCTGGATGTGCGGTATGTTCTCATTGGAATCCCAGGACTGGAAGCCCTGCACACCTGGATCTCCATCCCCGTCTGCTTCATGTACATTGTGGCTATGGTAGGAAACATCTTCCTGGTCTTCCTGATTGTGACTGAGCACACTCTCCATGAGCCCATGTATTTCTTCCTCTCCATGCTGGCCCTAGCAGATGTCCTGCTTTCCACAGCCACAGCCCCCAAGATGCTGGCCATCTTCTGGTTCCATTCCACAGATATTTCCTTTCGTAGCTGTGTGTCACAGATGTTCTTCATACATTTCACCTTTGTGGCAGAATCTGCTATTCTCCTGGCCATGGCATTTGACCGCTACGTGGCCATCTGTTACCCACTGAAATATACCACAATACTCACCTCCACAGTCATTGGGAAGATTGGCGTAGCTGCTATGGTCCGGAGCTTTCTCATTTGCTGTCCATTCATCTTCTTGGTCTATCGACTCTTATATTGTGGGAGAAAAATCCTTCTTCATTCCTACTGTGAACACATGGGCATTGCCAGGTTAGCATGTGACAATATCAATATCAACATCATTTATGGTCTGACGATGGCCCTACTGTCTACAGGGCTGGACGTAGTGTTCATTATTATGTCCTACACAATGATCCTCCATGCAGTGTTTCAAATTCCTTCCTGGGCTGCCAGATTCAAGGCCCTTAACACCTGTGCTTCCCACATCTGTGTCATCCTTATTTTCTATACTCCAGCGTTCTTTTCATTTTTTGCCCATCGCTTTGGAGGTGAAACCATTCCTCGTCATATCCATATCTTAGTGGCCAACCTCTATGTGGTGGTACCCCCTATGCTCAACCCAATCATTTATGGGGTGAAGACCAAACAGATTCAAAATCGAGTGGTTTTGCTTTTCTCCACTCTGAGTACATGTTGTTAAAAAGATGGCTAATGCTGAATTCTAGTTATTTCTGAATAAAATTCCATCTTTCAAAGTCTGTTTTAGTGAAATATAGAAATAAATTAAATCCATAGATATTTTAAACACACTTAAAAGTATCTACAAGTTTCCACTGTATTTGTCTAATGTAATCAATGATTTGAAAGAAAATACGGTGTACAATCATATTTTCCATACTTCCAGACAGCTTATTATCATGCATTTTTAACTTATCTTAAGGAGAAAATAGAAATATTTTTAGGGCTACAACAAACTTACTTTCCTATGTGTAGTACTGACATTTGATAAACACTCTGAATTTCTGTCCTCAATCACCCCTACTTCAATCAAAAACTATGTGGATGAATAACGCGAAGCCAGTATATTATACTTATTTTTGTGAGCACCTATTTCTTAACTTAAAATATAGTATGTAAAATCATATTCTCTGACTCACTGATATTTAACAATGTCTATTTTATGACACAAGCACATGAACTATATACATCTAATGCAAGGATGATAGTTCTATGAAAAGCAATAATAAACACCAAATTGATTTACAGGAGAACACCTGGATGCTTTAAAAGATAAGTTTTTCCTATATCCTGGGAATTTTAGACCCATATCACCCTTCAAGCATAACAGTATTAGTAGAGTTTTTACTAAAGAAGTAAATCACTGAAAAATCCAATACTCAGCAATAAAAGTGTTTATAAATTGAGTCATTTGTACAAAAAATAGATGCACCTTGAGATCATAATGTTAAGGGAGATAAATCAGATGCAACAGCTTTAATATTATATGGTTTCTCTTATATGAGCAACCCAAAATATAAATAAAGAGCAAAATAAGAGGTGTTAGAAAATAGGGAGGGAGATCTTTCTCAAATCCCAAATGGAAAGTGAATCAAGAGCTGGAAGGAGGAGGGAGGGAAAGTGGTAAAAAGGTATTTAAGGTGTTTTTTTGTACATCTCCAAACAAGCAATGTAAAATTATAGACTGAAAACTTCTACTAATAAATATAAAAAGGAAAAAAGAAGGCAGAGCCCTCATTTAAAAAAAAACCCGAAAAGAATCCAATATGTGAATATTTACCTAGAGCCTTACATGCAAAAGGCTCTAATCACACCAAATATAAATATCTATGAACTTGTCTCTATTGTCTAGCTTAGTTCTTTCAAATCGCAACACATTAACAATTTTATTCTTCTTCTTTAAGGCCTAATTCAATGCCTTAAGGAATGTGGAAAATGACAGACAGGACAGTAGACCTTGAGAAATTTGAGATGGTATCTTTAACATTTACAAGCATTTTGTGGCTAGCTTCACTCTCACACAATACCTATCTATACACATCTGTCTATAAACATCTATCTATCTATCTAGCACACAAACTTTGCTCTCTACATTTAAACACAAATGCATACAAATTTTAAAAAGGTTTAAGTGGACTTCCCTATACAATTTACATTATTAGCAAAACAGAGACAAAAAATCTGAAGTTTCTGACTCCTTTTATTATTCTAAATACTGAAGCACTGTTTTGATTTATCAGCAGAATATTTGGATTCCATTTTTCTAAATCCAAAGCAGTTTATTTTTTCTACTAGACTTTGGTCATTCTTTGTGTACTTTAGTGTTTCATGATAATTTTCTGAAGGGTTTGCACATAAGTGACGTAAGGTAAATTCTTCCACCTCTCTGGGACTTGTGCAATCCCTATGGAAATCAATATGGAGATACCTCAAAGAGCTGGGATTAGAGGTTTCATTTGACCCAGCCATCCCTCTGCTGGGTACCTTTCCAAAACAATTAAAAGACTCATATCACAGTGATGTATGCACACCCATGTTTATAGCGACACAGTTTATAATAGCTAAAACTTGGAAACAGCCCGTTGGCCCATCAGTTGGAGACTGGATAAAGAAGATGTGGTTTTTCTATACAATGGAATACTACTCAGCCATAAAGAATGAGAAATTAGATTCATTCATAGGAAAATGGATACATATTAAGGATATACTCTTAAGTGAAATAAATAAGTCACACAGGTGTAAATACTGAATAGTTTCTCTGGTGTGAAAAACTATAATGGTACACAGGATGCTAATGAGATAACTGACAATGTGAAATAGGAAGAAAAGGGCTAAAGTTGTAGGGGAAGTGGGAAGAGTAGGGGGAAGGTAATAAGGGAAAAGAAAAAAATATAAGAAAGTGAAAAAATGGAAACAAAGTATTTGTAAATAGGGAAGGGAGGAGGAGGTGAAGGGAGGGCAGGGACAAGAGGAAAAAATGAGTACCAAGACCTGTCATGTAAGGGTACAAGATCCCAATGATGAATATAAATGTACTGTGTACCTAAAAAGCACCAATAAACTCAGTGAGAGATTGAGAGAAAAAAAAAAACTTCAACCTCTCCGAGACACTGCCACGCTTGAAGCAATTGTTTACCTTTCAAATACAATATTCTGCTACTTAAAGACATCACTAAATCATTGGTGTAGGAGATATGAAGCAAATTTTTCACGTCGCCGTTACGCCTACACCTTCAGTTAGTAAAAATAACACCAACATCCCACCCAGAATACCACACAATTTCATCATGCAGTGTTTGGAAAGGACTTAGGGAAAACTGGCATGCTCTTCCTCATAGAATTGAGAAACATAATATGCTAAGGTGCTGACTTTGGTAAAGTGCGAAGAGCGCTGCATATGAGTGAGAAGCTCAATAATTTTTTCAGAATCTGAGACTTAGCGATGAAAAACACATACAGTCCAGGTGAGTCCAGAGTAATGCAGCTTGTCCCTGGAGGCAGACTAAGAGTGTATACATGGATAAGAAAATGAACTTTACACTTCCTTGTGGTTTTTGTTCTGCACTTACCTCAGCTATAACAAAATTCTATGACATAATGCATATAATATCAAAAAAGTGATCTATTTCTTATTATTTTTGCCTGTGCTTCTGAGTCTTATTCAAGAAATCATTGTCCAGAACATTAGGAATTTTTTGTCCTATATTTTCTTCCAAGAGTTTTATAGTTCCAGAAATTTTGAAATCCATTTGCATAAGTTTTTTTTGTGTTAAGAGTTTAATTTCATTCTTCTACATAGTTTTTCCATCACCATTTATTAAAAAATGTATACTTTCCTCATTGTATGTCCTTGGTACTGTAGCCATAAATCAGTTAACTATGAGTGTGTGAGTTTATATCTGAGTTCTATCCTGTTCAATAACTTAGTTTGTTGGTTTTTAGGCCAATACCATTCAGGTGTTATTATAATCTCTACAAAATATATTTTGAAATCAGAGAATGTGATGTGTCCAGCTTTTTCTTTTTGTTGAAGATTGCTGTGATAAATTTGTGGTTCTATACAAATTTTATTTTTTTTCTATTTCTGTTAAAAATAACCCTAAACTGTTGATAGGGATTGTACTGAATGTAGGGATCACTTTTCAGGTTAGGGCAGTTATGCTTTTTCCAATACCTTAAAACAAAGTAAATTTCTAGTTATTTCTATTTTCTTTAGTTCTTTAATTAGTGCTTTATAGTTATTAATATACAGGTCTTTTTTTGTTAAATTTACATCCAAGTATTTATTATTCTTTTCTTGCAATTGTAAATGGACTTGTTTACCTAAATTACTTTGAATAAGTTCATTATTAAATTTGCAAATAACATTGATTTTTCTATATCGATTTCACATCCTGTAAATGTACTGAACTTGTTTGTAAGTTCTGACAGATTTTTTTCTGAGTCTTCAAGATGTGCTGTATAAAACAGCTATATAAAAGGTGAATTGATTTCCACAAAACAAAAGCCATCCAGGCAATTCAATGACCAAATATAATCTTTCCTAGGGTTGCTAAGCTGCTGTACAAAACATAGTGAAAAGCTGAAAGCAATTAATTAATTGGCAGTTAAAAGTTAAATATCTATGGAGACAGTGAAAATGGTCAGCCAGGGGCTGGTGAGAGGCAAGCATGAATAAAGGGAGCACGGAAGGATTTAAATTGCTGAATGATTTTGTCATGACGGATGCATGCCATCGTGCATTTGTTAAGAGGCATAGAGAGTATGAGAGTCCATTTACCTAAACTATCAGCTTAGGCTGCTGCTGTGTCAGTTTGATTCACTGATTATGAAATTTACCACTCTGCCATGGGCTGTTGTTGGTGGAGGAAGTTGCGTGTGAGTCCATGTTTGGGTTACATCAGAGTTCTCTATATTTTCTACTCAATTTTTCTGGGAACATAAAATCACTCTAAAATGGGATCTGTGAAATTAGGTGACCATTGTTTGGAGTATTCAGTAATAGTGGATGGCGGCGAATTTTTGGACAACTAGTCAGGGATTTGGAGGGGAAAACGATTGGAAATTGGTAACAAGATACTTGATTAGGTGTTTATGAAAAACATATGGGAGAGAGAACAAGTGTGAATACTTTCTTACTGCATATAGTTGCCAACCGGAGAACATTCTCTGAAATACGATGATTTGGAAGAAGAGGTAAATCACTGTGAGCAAAATAAAATGATAAGTGATGTGAAATAAAGCTAGCATGCATTTTTCCCAAATAGCACACCTGGTTTTCAATTTGTACCCAGTGTCACACTTGGTGGTCTAGGTAGTGTTCTACCTACAGCTGTAAACATAGGCATTTGACCATCATCTTCTCCTCAGCTAGTGAGACATTCAGAACTGAGTTTATAATCTAAGGCTGTCAGCAGATTTTGCAGGGGAGGGCATTGCAATTGCTTTATATCACTTTCCATTGTATATCTGAGAAATATATAAACCATACGTGGACAAGCATATATTAGCATGGACTACTAAGGACAATCCTCTAAATTTGGGATCCTCTATCATAGTAAATTTAGATGATGTCAATGTCATTTAAATTTATATTAAAATAGTTAAGGTACAAAGAAAATTTGGAGTGCATTCAGAGAAAGAAGTAAGAACAAGTCATTTTTTTGGTAGTGTCAGAAGGGG